GTGGAAATATAACATTAAATCCCTAATTGATATTCCATCAATCAAGGAAATGCTGAAGCAGAAACTTCAGCTAAAGGCACAAAGAACAAGACGATACGAAAAACGTTGTAGGTTCTATCGCCAAAATAAAATATTCCGAAAAGATCTTAGGAAATTTTACAGGGAAATTGAAAAAACACCTATACATGTCGAAAGGCCACCATCGATTGATAATGTACAGACATTTTGGGAAAATATTTGGAGCAGCCCAAAGGAATATAACCCAAATGCAGAATGGATACGGCGTGAAGAAGAACGACTGCTGGATACACCTCTGCAAGAATGGGAAAATATATCCACAGATGATGTTAGGCAAGATCTAATGAAATCCCAAAAATGGAAATCCCCAGGAAATGACAAGTTGCCCAATTTCTGGCTGTATCATCTCTCATCTACCCATGAAATTCTTGCAAAAACATTATCAACGCTTGTAAATAATCCCAATAAAATCCCGGAATGGATTACTGAAGGTATTACACACCTCATACCAAAAACAACTGAAACAGACGACCCGAAAAATTATAGACCGATAACATGTCTCTCCACAACGTATAAGTTGATCACGTCTGTACTGACGAACCGTACTTATTCCTTTTTCGAAACAAACAGCATTCTCCCGCTGGGATGCAGAAGAGGTTCATATGGCTGCAAAGATCAACTTCTGATAAATAAAATGATCCTGGAAAATTGCAGAAGACGACGCAGGAATCTTAGTGCAGCGTGGATTGATTATCGTAAAGCCTTTGATAGTGTTCCACATTCTTGGATCCTTAAGATTTTGGAAATGTACAAAGTCTCCCCTGTGGTATTAAATTTCCTTAAGCACTGCATGGAAATGTAGAACACCAAACTATACCTTAGTCACACTGGGGGCACTGCCATATCCAACCGTCTGAATATCCGACATGGAATCTTTCAAGGAGACTCTCTGTCACCCTTTCTGTTTTGTTTATTCTTAATCCCTCTTACACATGAACTGAACAACAGTAGCTATGGTTACAAAATAAATAAGAAAATATACAATCACCTACTCTCCATGGATGATCTCAAACTCTTTGCTAAAGACGACAATGAGTTGAAAGGCCTCCTCAATATTGTAAAATACTTCAGTGATGACATAGGTATGGACTTCGGATTAGATAAATGTGCAAAAGTAACATTCAAGAAAGGTAGAATTACAGAAACACCCTTAATAGATTTAGATTTTGTCACAAAGATTAGGGAACTAGAGCATGATGAAGCTTATAAGTACCTAGGAATTAGCGAAGGAGATGGCATACAACACCCCCAAATAAAGGAAAAAATAAGAAATGAGTACTACAGGCGTGTACGTCTGGTACTAAATACTGAGCTAAACTCAAAAAACAGAATATCAGCCATAAACACATTGGCTGTCCCTGTGGTGCAATACAGCTTTAATGTCTTTAACTGGGCCATAGCTGAAATTAAGCGAATGGACGCCAAAACGAGGGCTTCTAACTTGCTATCGCATGCATCATCCCAAAGCTGATGTTGATCGTCTGTATGTGCCCAGATCCGAAGGAGGCAGAGGATTAGTTCAACTAGAACTCTCCTACAAAACTACAACAATTGGCCTCCAAAGATATGTGGAAACTACAGAAGACTGGATGATGGTATGTGTCAAGGAACATGAAAGTAGTAAGCGTCTTTACTCCGTAATGAAAGAAGCCAACAAATTCAAAATGGAGTTTCAAATGGGCGTAGAGATGCAACTACAGCACAATACACCGGCTGAAACTGCAAAATAACTAAAAAAGACAGCAAAGACGAATGCAACCGACCAGATACAGAAGCGATGGCAAGATAAACCGCTTAATGGCCAATACTCTGCCCGTACCAAACAAGCTGACGTAGACAAAACCCGTACCCATCAGTGGCTACGTAGTGCAGGGTTGAAAGCTGAAACTGAAGGTTTTATCCTTGCTGCGCAGGACCAATGCTTGCTAACTAGGAATTATCTCGAAAATGTGGCATATGGGAACATCAACAATCCCTGTTGTAGTTGGAGCCCTAGGACTGGTTGGAAAAGATTGCTGTAGACTAATTGAAGGGATTCCTGGAAGTCCATGCCTCAAGGAGATACAAAAAATTGTTCTGACAAGTACAGCCCACACTTTACGAAGGGCTTTATCTATGTAATTATTATTTTTTTTTTGTCAGTGTAAAGTGTCATGACGCCATTTCTAACCTTAGGTCCGTCCCTAGGCGGGACACGGAAAGAAATGTGCAAACGCCAGAAATCAAAGAAAATAATAATAATAATAATAATAATAATAATAAGAAGAAGAAGAAGAAGAAGAAGAAGAATATTCGTTGTATATTATGGGTCAATAAAAAATAAAAGGATAGTAAGAAAAATGTTAAAAATTTTCAGACACATCTGTGTATTTTGCCTACGAAAAATAAAATGTATTTTGGACATATTTTTAGGAAATAAAACTGTTTAAAATTGCATTGCGTAGGTGTAGATTTGTTTGAGGCTGGTCGACCTTTCAATAACGGATTTTATTTTATTTATGAGTCTATAATTTTCACGAACCCTGCAACACATCTACACATGCCCAGTCCAGATTTCTTTATTTTTTCCTACAAAACAAGTCAAACTTTTATTTTATTTTTCGTTGAGAAAGATAAAAAGAACAAAAAAAAAAAACAGGTGCTTCCAAAAATTAAGAATTTGAAATTATTTCACATCATGCTTCTATCTTGTCTTTTATTATTATTATTATTATTATTATTATTATTATTATTATCCTTGATTTCTGGCGTTTACACATTTCTTTCCGGGTCCCGCCCAGGGACCTAAGGTTAGAAATGGCGTCATGACACTTCCCACTGACAAAAAAAAAAAAAAAAAAAAAAAAAAGATTAAGATAAAGCCCTTCGTAAGGTGTACATAGATGTCAGAACAATTTTCCTTCCTTGAGGCATGGACTTCCAGGAATCCCTTCAATTAGTCTACTGAATCTTTTTCCAACCAGTCCTAAGGCTCCAACTACAACAGGGATTGTTGATGTTCCCATATGCCACATTTCGCATGATTTCTATTTCAAGGTCCTTGTACTTTGACAACTTTTTGAATATCTTCAAAGATACATTGCAGTCAGCAGGGACTGCCATGTCAATAAGGAGGCACCGTTTTTGTTTGTGGTCTTTAATAACAATATTATTATTATTATTATTATTATTATTATTATTAATCAATAATAATAATAATAATAATAATAATATGACCAATGGATTATGGGAGTAAAAAAAATGAAGACTTTCCAAAATGAAGACTAAGATTGGTGGCGATAATAGTGAACTTGGAACCGTGTCAAAATAGCCGCAATCGAGACTGGTTGGATTTATATATATATATATATATATATATATATATATATATATATATATATATATATATATATCTAATCTACATGTAAATAAATAAATATACTGTATAATAAATAAATAAAACAGTGCATCTACTTAAATATAAGTATCGATTTAAAAATAACGTTTAAACAAATAAATTAAAAAATCTGAGGGATTTAAATCCATTTCGCATTTATATATATATATATATATATATATATATATATATATATATATATAAAAGTGAACACTGAAGCCAACACCCGAGACGACAGTCTGTTTCTTGCTAAACGCAATCGTCAGGCTTGAGGGTAACATTAGGCGGCTATTTGTGTGTATTAGGAGGGGATTATAACGGTTAAGCCTAGCCCTGAAGAGGTTAAGATTGTAGTGATTGGGGAATCATTCTCTTGAGAGTCTGCCCCGCAGTGTAGTGGTTTGCCGGAAGAAGCTGTTTCAGTGGAACTTGCTGATGGAAGACAAGAGGGAATATGGACGGTTTCCTACTATATAAGTAACATGGTGTGTTCTTGTCCGAGCACTTTCTGTGGAAGTAGTGGTAGAGCAGCGAGTAGCTTGCTACATCCAACCTGTAGAAGAAAGGGGTTGAAGGACAGAGAATAATTCGACGCCCATAAGGGCACGGGGGTGCTTTTGAATTCTGTCAGGGCCGGAGATGTTCTTTAGTCTTTTTCTTCTTATTAAACCAAATCGTATTTTTGTCAGTAAATAAATAAACGCCAAATTCTGCCTCTAATTGGGCCACACTTGCTCTACATAGATATATTATACCTTTTTGGAATCAGGATGATTTCGGGATGTAAAATCTGCCCTTCATCTGATTTTTAAATATCCAGCATGGCGACTTTTTATCTGAATGAGGAGGGAACCGTTAAACATTAAAATTTTAAAGTAACTGAAAAAAAAATGAGTGATTTTAAGTTTTTAATTTATATTGAGTTTAAAGTAACAGAAATACTTTATGGATTTAATTTTTTGTTTTAAATACAGTTTAAAATATCTCCCAAACTTTGCGAATTGAAGAAACCATTTTTATTTATTCAACATGCCAAGGAATCAGAGTTAAAGTGAGAGGTTTTGTGATGTGAGGTTTTGACGAATTCAACACACTTAAAGTTCCGCGGTGTTTGTCATTTCAAGAACTCAATTTTCGGCCTGAATTGAAATTTCAGCCTCAATCGGAGTTTCGGCCCAAATCGGTCTTTTGGCCATAATTAGACTTGTAGCCCGAATCAGATTTAAATAAGTTTCATAGTGTGAATTGAGGAATTCAAAGTTATTTCTTCAAAATTATCATTGCTGTTTTATAAGCTGGACCAGAGGTCTCTTTAGTTTTGGGCTGGAGGCCTAATTATCCCTACGCAGGAGCTAGCTTAATAGTTCGCACGAAGTGCGGCTTTTAAGATAGTAATTAACAAACTGAGATATTTAACATCAGCATCTCGATTCATTTCTTCATCTAAGAAATATCCTTTGGTTGCTGAATTCATCTTGGCTTTTATTCCATTTAATATTTAATAAAATATTTTGTGTAAGCAATTTCTTTTAAGAAAGACGCTCAAATGTGCCCTCACTTTCTCACAAAAAAAAAAAAGAAGAAAACTTGCAAGTTCTTGCCGTACGAAAGACGGAAGATGAAACGAAGAGAAAAGTTAGAAACAAGACCAGGGCCTCACATGGAAAGTGCGATAATATTAGGTTGGTGCAAAAATAATGACGTAATAATGTCGTTTTTGACGTACTTTTCTACGTCAAAAACGACATTCTTACGTCATTATTTTTGCACCAACCTAATATATGTCATGCACATAATAGCAGAGGCGCTTGAAACCATGGTGAAATACTAGAATTAGTTGATTAGACATTCAGGAAGGATTAAGAGTGTCTTCAGAAACAATGTCGAAGTCTGCGAGAAAGCTGAGAAAAGGGATGGGAGACATAAAGAGATTACTCTCCTGCAAACTCAAGCAAAACCCATCATGCATTTCGTATGAGCATGAAATCAATGACATGTAATAATATTAATAATAATCATTGTCGTCGTCGTTGACGGATCTCGTCGCTCATCGACATTACCTTGTGTGAAATGAGTCCTATGATAGACTCATTGAAGAGATTTCTAGTAGCCTCATGACTTAGAGAAACACAAAAATCGTGCTCACAAGCACAGTTCACACATTACAAAGAACTTTATTTATGTAAAATGTGTCGTCTTAGGGTTTGTTTGGTTGTTTTTTTTTTTTTTTTTTAAATGATCAGTGAAGATATATATATATATATATATATATATATATATATCATGAAGCCATTTCTGATCTTAGGTCTCCGGTTGGGACCTTGAAGGAAATGTGTATCCCACAAAAATCCAAGGAAATAACAACAACAACAACAACAACAACAATAATAATAATAATAATAATCTCTACATAAGCCAAAATCGTATTTACGGAATCAAACCAAAATGTTTTCAACAACGTTTGAAATGAAAAAATGTATAATAATAATAATAATAATAATAATAATAATAATAATAATAATAATAATAATAACGCCTGGTGTCACAACACTTCCGAAATGTCTGCGTTGCTTGTTACTGAAAACATTCTGTACAAGGTGTCATCTGTCTGAGATCGTACGATTGATGGAGAATGTCCCTAATGCAAGAACTCTCGCTGAAAAACAAAAAAACAAAACAAAACGTGTGAAAGACGAAAGTAAAATAATAACAATAATACAAGGAAATAACAAATAGAAATAAAGCGAAAGTAACCAACGGTGACCCATTGAGGTTTGAACTCGCAAGGCTTTGCAAGTTGAAGAATGTCGCTTGCGACTTCGTGTAAGCAAAGCCATCGAATGGGTTCTGTCGACCCAATTTTACTCACTAGACTTGGGTCTTCAAGTATGGTATTTGAGGACTTTCCACACGGTGCCACAAACCGGAATCGTCGAACCCGGATGTCATGGGTGGAAAGCGAACGTTCTAACTCATGCTTGCATATGATCATTGAATTATGGGAGTGAAGAATGAAACCACCTGGAAGCGACAGTCTGTCTCATGCTGTTTCAGGTCTGACAATTAACTGGCGTCAATATCCTCTTTTATATTTACATACGCTCTATCCCTGATATTGAGCACTTTAAGCCATAAATATGGCATACCTTAAAACTATATTTTATCATATATATATATATATATATATATATATATATATATATATATATAGTGGTGTACTATCTCGTCGTATTTGACGTATGAGGGTCAAGCAGATCAGTTCCCAGGAAACCGACAGCCCAGACACCAGCACATATGATTTGATTATAATGGTGAAGGCTTTGTGTAGGACCATCCACACTTTTTGAAAGCCCGATTACAGAGACCTGGTGCACTACGTGCCACAAGGTCTCCAAACGACCCTCCACAGGTTTTGAATTCAGAGTTGTCCTTCTCCTAGACCAGTTGCCATCCAATAGATCCTAGTCTTTCTTATTATTTACCCATAGCTGGAGAGAGAAGAAGAGGATTAATACCTTTCCCAAGAGTATTAGTATGTAAGTAAATGTAATGGAGTTGACTGGAAATCGAACTCGGCACTCCGATTCCTCAATCACATCCGCTATTCCCTACTCCCCACCCGTGCCTCCTTATATACGCTACAGTTCAAAAGTTTAAGGCTACCACTGGTAATTATTTCAATTGACACCAAAATTATTTGTTTTGTACTTTTACGAAGAGAAAATTATTATACACAGTTTAAAAATTTTAATATGACAAAAAGAAAAAAAAAGCATTTTATCATTAAATTTTGTTATCGTCAAAATATCGTCATTTTCATCTCATTACTGCAGCACAAATGTTTGGTATCCATTGCAAAAGTTTCTCAATGTATATGTTTGATAATTGATTCCATTCTTTTAATAATGACTCTCAGAGAACATTTTGAATTTTTTCATTCTCCTCTCAAGTTTTTGAAATGTAGTGTATGTATATATATATATATATATATATATATATATATATATATATATATATATATATGAGAGTCTCGATATGAGACATTCTCATATCGAGAATATTTAAGATTGAAAAACATAAGGAAAAATTATTCATTTTTAATAATATGTGGAAATCTCCGCCTTTTATCTGAAGACGGTCGCGAGACCAGAAACACGTGTAGCAAAATTATGAAAAATGAAGCATAATATTTTTTGCGGCACCTCTCTTCTCTTCTTTATAATATACAGTCTTTTCTCTCGTTGGAACCACTAACCTAACCTATATATATATATTATATATATATATATATATATATATATATATATATATATATATATATATATTTCTCCTCAAGTAAGGCAGTAAAGCCATTAAGACGCAAAAGAATATGAGAACAAACTATTAAGGGGAGAAAACAATAAAAGAATAAGAATTAATAAGACAGAAGAAACGATTGACATTGCATTTGCATTTTTGAGGATCAAAGCTGACTGGTGAGAAGAAGCAAGAAGAGTGTTCCACAGGCGAGAAAAATGCAAGAGAAGAAACTGTTAGCATAGAACTTACGGTTACATCTAGTCATTTCAACTGTACAATGATGAGAACCTGCCGCCAATCTGGTACTGCGCTTGAATTCATAAAGCCTAAATACGAAAGAGGAAAGCACATCAGAAGAATTATCATAAAAGTGTTTATAGGAAAGGTACGAGGGAGAGTTATGTTACAGCGGTAGGAAAGGAAAATGTAGCTATTTGCGGACGAAGTCTTCCAGGATATTGAAAAAAGGTCAGGAGATTTGAGGAGATTTGCTGTCACACTTTCCCCACAGATACCCATCAGGCATCTGGTGTAAACACGCAAACGCAAAGAATAATAACGATGTTGTTGAAGATTGTGAAGATAACTGAGCAATGAAATATTTTAATCGTTTGACATCTTGTATGAAAAACATGTCTTTTATAGCACGGGGAATTATTAATAGTTACATTTTTCAGCCATTCATAAGGGTTATTTTATTTTCCCACTGAATATATGAATCGAATGCATTTTTACCAGCAAATAGAATTGTCATTGTTTTTTTATTTTATTTTATTTATTGGAGATCTCCAACTGCTGATTACGAATTTCTTGCAATTGGAGGTTATAATTTTGATGCTGTTAAATCGTTCTAATGAGAATCAAGCGACATCTGCCCGTGCCAAGTGGAAATTCTTCTTTTCAACTGATTTTGTTTCTCCAAAAAAGGCTCCATCTGTTCACTGTCTCAGGCTGACAGCGCTTTCAGAATCAATAAGGTTATAATTATAGATATCGCATTCCTATTCCTTTAGCGAAGTTTACCTAAACTCCTGACCACCGATAAATCTTTCCTGTTTTTAATGCATTTCAATTGCGAAATGATTCACCGCGAATTCCTATAACAAAACTATTTCTGAAATTCTTCTTCTGTGGGCCTGTCCCTTCTGGACGTTGACGATCATGGCTCTCCACAATTTCCTGTTATTAGTAGCGCTCAATACACTTTGTCTTATTCTCTCCCAAATCCTGTCCATTGACTTAATCTTGACAGTTAAGTTATGCGTTGTTTTCCTCTGTTCCTCTTGCCGTCAATATAACCTGTGAATATCTAATTTTCCAAGCCCTCTTTCCCCGTTATGTACTCTAGAAACTTCAACTAATGTTAAGTATACGTGTCCCTTTTGTTTTCATTTTATCTAAGACTTGCTAACATGTTACGCCAATGGTATTTTCAGCAAGGCTTCTGTAGAACCACATTTCTTTTGCTTCAAGTCTCTCCATTTGTAAGGAAATTATCCAGCATCACTGCCATAGGAAGGGGAATGAGAAGGAAAGAAAGAGGGAGAAGGAGGGAGAGAGAAAGAATGAACAAAGAAAGAAAGAAAGAAAGAAAGAAAGAAAGAAAGAAAGAAAGAAAGAAAACACTGAATTCAAATGAGTAGAGAAGGCGCCCCTTTGTCTCTTCCAAGTAGAGAGTGGATCTGTAGAGAGCTACTTACACGCACATACTTTTGGGGAAGGTTTGAATCCGTCAATTCTCTCCCCTTAACTATGGGATAAATAGTAGGACTTGTATCTGGAAAAATCGATGTTATCTACATAAGATTGAAAAATGTAATATTCATTCGTAAAAAATAAAATGTAAAAGATATTTCGACCTTAAATAACCGACAAAGGGTTGGTAAGCTGTAAAATATAAATCAATCAATCAACTGTAAAGAGTTATAAAAATATCCTGAATGGCACTAAAAAAAAAAGTCAATCATAAATTTTCAAAATGCTTGTTAGGACCTTGTGGACATTTGTAATAAAAATTTTGAATTATGTGGTCATGAAGCCAGAGGAGTATATCTCAAAGGCAATTGATAATCATGTAAAGATTTGACTCTTGGAAAAAAAGTGTTTCACTGAAAAGCGATTTCTGCTATTTTATTATGTTATTCCTTGAGGCCGTTTCTTCACTCGTTTTATTTTACGACTTGTCCATGACTTCTGTGTTATTTCCCTTCAAGCACGGTGCTCGAGTTGAAAGAAAAGAAGCGTTTCATCATTTATTTATTTTAAAAGGTCTTTGATATTTTATTGCTTGAAGATTTTAATTTCCCTATTTGAAAAAGGAACACAAATCAAGCCTCCTGATCCTTCGTTGTTTTTTTTTTAGTCCTTTTTACACAAAATCTTTCAATAAATAAGTCAATAATATAAAATAAATAAATAAATAAATAAAAAATAAAAAAATAGCATGAGCTTCTAATTCCCGGAAATGTGATGTCGACAAATCAGATAATTTGGAAAGCATCCTAGTTTTTGATTTCGACAATATAACTTATTTTCTTACTTTTTCTTACTTTCTTTCTTTCTATCGCCAGTTTTTCTTTCTCTGTAGTTTAGAAAAAAAAAGTATAACCATATTCTCACACGACTTACGCACTTCCATGTACGTACACATACATACATACATACATACACAAACGTGGGATGATGGGAAAACGGGCAATCTTCAGGCTCGAAGAATGTCGCCGCTTGGTGACGAGAGTTTCCATCTTATATTTGCATGCGCTCTATCATTGATATTGAGCACTTTTTACCCTTAAATATATCACACCTTTTATCATTTCGTTAAGATGTATTAAATTCAACTGCTAAGGTTTTGTTCGTTTACTTTTTTTTACTGTATTTTTTCAGTTTGAAATATCTTTAATTATCTTGAAGTGTGATCTGTTGGTATAATCCAGGTGAGTCCTATTAACACAACATAGAATTTGAAATATGTTAAAACTGACTCACAAAATATCGCTCAATGTTTTATTATCATTGTACAGAGAAAAATATTATTTAAAATTGGAATTAAGACACCTTTAGTTAATGACCATTTTCACCTACGAATTTTAATCTTAAAATTCGCAGGATTTTTCAAACTGTTTATGGTATCAATTTGTAGTGGGATCCCACTCTAAACGGATACCATAAGGGTTAAGGGTTAGGTGAGTTTTTTTTTAATTCTTGCCTGTCGATACTGGTTTCCTTACATGAGGACGTGTTATCTTGTCTGTTTTTCTAAGGGAATACATAAGATACACGACAATACATTGGCATTTTTATTTATTTATTATTCATTATTTATAAAAATACATTGGGATTGTCTTAAAGGGTCTTCAAATTTGAATAAATCATGTTTGAGATATTTATATTTTTATTTATAAAGATTTAAGATAATGTATTTGTTATATTTATTAGTATGCTAGATACGGTATTGTTAAAATGAATATTTTAAAATTTAGGAATTTATACAGGTTTTAATTTCTTTTTTTGTGATCAAATAATAGATATATAATTATGATTTTTTTTTAATTAAAGATAATGCAGTGTCTACACAAAACAGTTATTTCGTTTCTTTGATTTAATAAGTCTTTATGTTTTAGAAATATTATGCTTTACTCTGTATCGAGCACTGGTTTTAAAAATAAAGGCTAAGGAACTGTGGATTATAAATCTGACTGTTCTTTCTTTTTGTTTTGATATCTGTATATATATCCGAATGTAACGAGAACGAAAATAAATTCTAACTTTCACAGCATTAATTCAAAAGAGGGCACAATACCAAGTGTAGAGCAATAATTATCTCGGCTAGTGAGAAACAAAAATTTTGGTTCTCACCAGTCGAGATGCAACCGCATCGAAACAAGAACGCATCTTTGTAGTGAGTAAGTTGTTTTTGTCCGTATGTAAAAATTAAATATATATATATATATATATATATATATATATATATGTGTGTGTGTGTGTGTGTGTGTATAATAGTGAGCATTGAAGTCAATACTCAGAGACGACAGACTGTTTCATGCTGAATGCAATATTCAGGTCACCTGATATATGTATATATATATATATATATATATATATATATATATATACGATATTTCGTCCCTCAACTTAAAAACTATGAGGAAAAAGAAAGTCTGTCATGGAAAATGAATGGACTGGTGTGTTTTAAAATTTTACAACTTATCTGCTAGAAGCGCCTACAATAGTCAAAATTTCTAGTTTTTACGATGGGGACTTAACCGGTACGGTTTTTTACCGTTTCAAACCTATTTAAAATTTCTATTTATATATATATATATTCAAACCCTATATATATATATATATATATATATATATATATATATGCACAGTGGGTCAATAGAGATAGATGTTGGAATGGGAAATCGTGAATTGAATTGTAGTCGAGTTCGTTACATTCACCTATGAGCGTATTTGCGCGTGAAAGGTATGAATCCATTTCTTCTCCCTCCTGCAGGCAAGACGGTGTCCTCTAGCTTTGGTTGGCAACCAGTCTAGGAGAAAGAAAAACCTGAAATCTGCTACTATATCTCTACGATCCTAATAGGTTACGGGACTCGTGATAATGACCTTGATACATATATATCTATCATTATTTATTCAATTTTTATTTTTAGTAGATATTTGATTAGACACTCCTTTTATTTTGAACAGTGTTTATTTCGTCTACGAGCCTACAATCTGGAAAAAAAAAACAAATTATTAAAGAAAATGTCCCCCACCTCAATAAATATTGTTTAAAATGAACAGAGCATCTACCCAAATACGATTAATACATGTATCCACTAAAAGTATAACATCTGGCATAATAAAAATATGTCGTATTATAAACTAAAATCCATTAATATATAATATACATATTTAAATCGATGATTTATGTTCAGTATTAATTGCATTTACATTTGCCTGAACAGAAATGATCGATCGCAAAAATTCGTCGAAGATTGTGTGTTTAAAAACAGTAATTCGAACTTTGCTAACCTGACGCCTCTCTGAGCTGAACGGTACAGCACGTCAGACCAAATGACGCTTTCTATATAGGAATACAGGTTCGATTCTTGTCGGAGAACGTATATTTTCTGCGAAATTTCTCGAAAATTCAGGTCGGTAAAATGTAATTAATATTATTTAATTAAAAACAGAGCATTTACTTAAATAAATTGTATCTATAAAACATAAAATATATTAAATCACTGTCGGAGTTAATGCATTTCATAATATATATATATATATATATATATATATATATACTATAAATTAATTGATTTAAAATATATTTTTTTCGCTACACAGTTCTAACCATGTTTCAAAATGGAAGCTAGCTCCGAATTTAATTTTGTAATTAAATTAAAGACATTAGTTCCATTTCATACTCAAGCGAATTTTGGAGTAACTTTTAAAATTACTGGGTTTTAAAGACACAGCAAAAATCATAATTCACGTTTCCAAGGATACAGAAAAATCCATTCAACCAGACAAGGGTGTTTGCGTGTTCATTATCGCTGTATTTTGATGTATCAGTTATTAGTTACGTTTTGGTAGGGGTAGGGATGTATTTTCAATGAAATCTGACATCCGTTAAATGCAGGTCGTCTGGATTTTTTAAAAATTTTTTATTAAAAAATTCTTACGGCATTTTTTCTATTTGTATATTTAAAGAATTTTTTGGGGCGTGTTTGGGTTAAATACGTTTTTATTTAACTACATTTTTTAACTACGATTTATCTTACTGTTCTTTCTTTATATATATATATATATATATATATATATATATATATATACAATTTTCTTATAATAAATTACAATAAAAAACATTTTACTTCGGTTTCAGTACTAAGATTGTACGTTCTCAGGCGATGGTAGATAACTTGTGATGGAATAATCTCTATCTATTGGAGAAAATTGTATGACAAAGTGGAAAAAGTTTTTCGTGTGGCGCGTTTCGTCTGATGATGTCCTAAAGGACGAAACGCGTCACACGAAAAATCCTTTTTTCTTAAAATAGTAAATAGTATATACATACATATATATATATATATATATATATATATATATATATATATATATATATATATAATATACATGCTCATCCTCATCATATTGCATCAAAGATGAGATGATACTCTAATGTAAATAGTATACATATATATATATATATATATGTATATACATATATATATATATATATATATATATATATATATATATATATATGTATATATACTATTTACATTGTTCAGAGTATCAGCCTCATCTTTGTTGCCATATGATGAGGATGATAGTCCGAACAATGTAAATAATGAACATAATACCTCATCTCAGAAATATATATATATATATATATATATATATATATTCATGAATAAAAATGACAATAGGAAAACTCGTAATTGCTGACGCGTTTCGTTCAATGTGGTTAAATCAGAGAAATTTTCATATATATATAAATTTCATTTCGATACGTGAGAGACACAGACAGAGAAGGATAATGTGTGTGTGTGTGTGTGTGTGTGTGTGTGTGAGAGAGAGAGAGAGAGAGAGAGAGAGAGAGATAAAGTGATACAGAAAAAAGAGGCTTCTAATGTAAGCAGGCTTGTATTTTCGCAGGCCCATCACATCTAAGTGCCTTGATGTGGCCTTGTTCCAGACTAAGATATATTAATGAACTTGATCAAATTGGGCGCCTATCTCGCCGCAAGGTTTTGTTACGTTCGTCTCGAAGACGGATACTATAGTTTGTTTTGTTTAGTAAATACGAATATAGCTGCGTGTGTGTGGTGGGAGGAGGGAGGAGGGAGGGGGTGTTGGTTCCTGGACCTCTAATCTGTTTATTTAATCGCTGCTTTTTTTTTTTATTGTCCTTTTCCTATTCCTTCTACTGTCGATTTGCATAGCTTTTATCACCGACGAGATTTCGCTCCTTTCTAAACATCCATTTTCGAGTTTTTCTTCTTTTTTTTTTTCTCTTTTTAATTAATTCTTTTTCCCGAAAGGAATTTTGCTCTTCAATTTCTAATACTTATTCGTTTTCATTTCTAAATTTGGAAATAATCTAAATATCTATCATGTTCCTTGATTAACGAATACACACACTCACACACACACATACACACACAAATACACAGATTTTTAAACTCCCTTCTGTTCTACATTGTTGTTGTTCTTCCCTTTGCGTTTGATGAACAATAAAAATTACTTCCAGTTAATTCAAGTTTTGTACACTCCTTGTTTGGATTTCTTTTTTTTGTCTTTCTTTCTTTCTTTCTTTCTTTCTTTCTTTCTTTCTTTCTTTCTTTCTTTCTTATGGGCATCTTTCGTTTTTTTTTTATTTGTTATCTTTCTTCATTTATTTTTTTTTTACATCATTTCTTTTTTTTTGTTGTATTTTTCGTTTTTTGCAAATATTCTTTCTTTTTTATTTCTTTTTTCGTTCTTTCTTTCTTTCTTTCTTTCTTTCTTGTCTTTATTTTTCATTTTTTATTTCGTTTACTTTTCATTTGTTCTCCTCTCTTTTCGCATTCACTTAATTCTTTTTCTCTTTCTTTTTTCATTATTATTTCTTTCTTTCTTTCTTATTTTTCGTTTCTTTTTTACCTTCTTTCTTTTTTGTATTTTTCGTTTTTTGTAAATTTCTTCTTTTTTCTTCCTTTTTTTTCTTTTTTTTTTCGTTCTTTTTTTTTTCTTTCTTTTCTTACTTTTGCGTGTGTTCTATTTTTTTTTTTTAATTTTTTCCTTCTCTCTTTTCGCATTTCTTATTTCTTTTCTGTTTCTTTTTCATTATCATTTCTTTCTTTTCTATTTTTTTTATTTTAATTTTTTTGTTCTTTCATTTTTTGCATTTTCTTTTTTTTCTCCCTTTTTTATTTCTTTCTTTTTCCGTTCTTTTTCTTTCTTTCTTTTTTGCGTTTTCTTTTTTTTTTTAATTTTCCTTCTCTCTTTTCGCATTTTCTTATTTCTTTTTCTGTTTCTTTTTTCATTATCATTTCTTTCTTTCTTATTTTTCGTTTCTTTTTAACTTTCTTTCTTTTTTGTATTTTTCATTTTTTGTAAATTTTCTTCCTTTCTTTCTCCCTTTTTTTATTTCTTTCTTTTTCCGTTCTTTTTTTCTTTCTTTCTTACTTTGCGTGTGTTCTATTTTTATTTTAATTTTTCCTTCTCTCTTTTCGCATTTTCTTATTTCTTTTTCTTTTTGATTGTTATTTCTTTCTTTCTTACTTTTTCTTGTAGTATTTTATTTTCTTTCTTTTTCTTTCTAATATCTCGATTTATTATTCTTTATTTGCTTCCTTTTTCTTCTATTTCGTATTATTTCGTTTCGTTTCGTTTCTTTTCGTTTCTTTCTTTCTTTCTTTCTTTCTTTCTTTCTTTCTTTCTTTCTTTCTTTCCACGAGCCACTTATCACCCCTTTCCTCATTTTCCCTTGTCAGTCTGCATTTTTTCATGTCATCGGGCCCTCTCCTCTTTCAGCACGTACTTTTTATTGTCTGTTTCAAACAATAATCTCCCATCTCTCGTTTTTCGTCTGCTTTCTTCGTTTCTCGCTCTTGTCTATGGTATTTTCCTTGCCGAATGGAGCTTTCACTGCCAAGGTATCCACTTGCGTCACTCACTTCAGTATATGATCAATATTGGCCACGTTTAAATGCAACTTTTAACTTCACTCACCGCCATTTTTTTTTGCTCCTCCACCTCTCATTGTCTTCCATTAATCATGCGACGCTGCCATCTTTGCTTAGACTACGCTCCCTCCTCTATCTTTTCCCCGTAATAACATATTTTACCTCTCACCCAATTCCAGGGGCTTCTAAACTAACATTTCTTAAAGGATTTTCTCATTTGAACATCATTTGAAAGCTCTCATAACACTGATTATCCCGCTTTAAGAGATTAAAGTGGTTGATTTTCATCACGCATTACCCATGTTAATAAATCCTAACAGGATTTCCATTTAATAACTGAATGTTATCTTCTCTGATGATACAGATATAAGGAACTTGAGTTCGTTTTTGTAAAAGAATATATACTTAAAAATAACGAACCGATGAGTAATCTAATAAGAATGGAATGATTGGTATGATGAAACGCGAATTTCCTCTCCTCTAACATCTGAATTTTTAAAAATAAATATTCACCCAAGAGTCACTCAAGGTAGAGGGTTAATGTCTAAACTTGGTGAATGAGAGAAGTACAGAATATGCTAGGTGGGTTCGTTTTCTACGGCTCATCAACCTTTTCTAAGTTATTTAAACCCAGAAAATATTTTTACGTTGTTTACTTTTGGAGATAATAATCATTTAGTGAGACATGTTTTACTTGTTAACCCATAGCTGGGGCAGAAGGAGTGGATTTATACCTTTCCCAAATTTTAAATTGACTATAGTTACAGATCTTATTTTCTGGTAATATCATGTACTAGCAGTAGAGCCCGGCGTTGCCCGGGGATGTAACAGTAAGAGATAGATCAAGTATTGACCATCATAAAGACTGAAAAATAAAATTGACAAAGATTATTGTTTAAAGTTGACGGACACGCATGTCTTAATTAGTTTTTTTGTTTTGTTTTGTTTGTTTTGTTTTTTTACGAATTGGTCAAACCCAAACTCAAACAAAACATTATTTCAATCGTTATGAGTCTACCGATTGAATAGAATTTTATTATAAACAATTGTCTTGTAAATGGAATTTTTAAAGCATTCTGAATGTAAAAATAAAGAAAAAGTGTGCAAGACAATAAAACACTACCTGCCAAAAAAGTGAAGTTTTGTTGAAATCTGTTGAAAAATGTAGAAATCCGATCCCATATATAAACGGACACACACACACACACACACACACACACACACACACACACACACACACACACACACACACACACACACACACACACACAACCTGGGTTTTATAATAAGTATAACTCGATATGAGTGGTCCCCCCTTTCATTCTGGCGACAGAATCGTGTTTTATCATGTTTTCAAATTGATTTCGTGCAAAAACAATTGTGTTTTCCCAATTTTTTGGCGCTGTCAGAACCACCGGAAGGTAATTTTACGCACTCTTGTGAAGTTTGGTTGAAATCAGTTGAAAAATGTAGGAAATCCGATCCAATATATAAACGTACACACACACACACACACACACACACACACACACACACACACACAATCTGCGTTTTATAATAAGTAAGATGAACGTCCGTATTTACAAAAGTCAGCGCGTTTAAACACACACAAAAAAATTCAAAATTCTTTTTAAAAATTGTAGTAAGCTTTTCCATTTATGATTAGTAAATATATTTTTACTTAATAACAATATCAACTTGCCTAATTATTATAATTAAAATAAAAAATGAAAACAATCCTTGTAAAAATTCAATATTCATCGAAAATTTTTTTGAAGATAATATTTTCCCTAATATATCTTGTTCATAAAAACAATTAAAAGCTTTTCTATTTAAATAATGTCTTAATTTTATTTCATTTTTTTTTTTTTATTTAGCGGTTCTTTAACTGGGCGTCCTCTTTGACAAAAAACAAAAAAAAAAAAAAAAAACAAAAAAAAAAAATAAACTGATGATTTAAATTCTACAAATGAAATTTCATAAAATTAAATAAGTAGGGAGTAACAGATGTAAAAAAATTATTAATAAAATATTTTTTATCAAAAAGAAACATGTCTAAAATAGTTTCATTCATTTGTGAATAAGTCCTGGAAGTTTCATTAAATTCGACAATGATCTGATGTTTTCAAAATTTCCCAATCAATGAGTTTTTTCATTGCAAGAAAAAAAAAAAAAAAAAAAAAAAAGCGGTAAAAATTACTAATATCACCCGTTGACGCAAGAAAAACAAAATATTTAACTAAAATTTCGAAAGTTCTAAAAGGATTAAAAATACAATTTATTAATCAAAAAACTTTTGGTGTTTTTCTTAAAAATAACATAAATAATATGACAATAAAACTGTGTTTTTATAAATTTTAAGGCATTTTTCATCATGCTATATATATATATATATATGTATGTATATATATGTATATATATATATATATATATATATATATATATATATATATATATGGATAGATAGATGAATAGATAGATAGATAGATAATATTAGTGGTAAATATACATACATATGCAAAATATATATATAGATGTATATTTTTTTTTAATAAAATTCAAGAGGAAGAATCAGGTAGAACTCAATGTCTAGGACAGAGTAAGATATAATAAAAGGCTTAAACACTAATATTCCATAAGTCATAATTTATTCCATTGGAATCGTAAATACGATCCAATTCATCAGACCTACAAATTCAAAAGAAAACAAAAAAACCAACTCCGGAAATAAAAACAGAATTTAGAGATATATAAATATATGTAGAATCCTTGGATAAGTAATCCAATTGAATCCTATTAATATAAAAATTAATATAAAATATTAAAACTGATCCACAAAGAGAGCTCAATATATTTATTATAGACATAGAAATGAAACTCAATTGTACCCCATCTTTATGGGTATATCGCTTTTCGTGTTAAATTCCCTGGAGCAATACTAAAACGTTTGATAAATGTCATAAAATGGGGCACAATTGTTTCATTTTATGTAATTCAAATATAAACCATATAATATATATATATATATATATATATATATATATATATATATATATATATATATATATATATATATATATAGATAGAGAGAGAGAGAGAGGGGGGGGGCGAGAAATAAAAGTCAAAAGTCTTATTCTACGTCTTCAAGGTTCTTAGATAAACCGCTTATCAAGGTAAATGTAAATCTATTGAAATCTTTAATAGATACATTTATATACGCTATATAAAAAATAAGACCCATTCTATAGTAATTAGCATAAATAAACGCAAATTGAAAACAAATTATTTAAGTAATGATAATATTTTTATTTCATTCGATCTTCCTGTTGATTTTTAGTACAGCATTCCGGGAACGATGCACTCTACGACCGTGGGATCAAACAACGATAAAATTTTCGCAACGAAAGAAGTAGCTTCCAGCGTGATTTGATCTCTCGCGCCCTACATCGAAAGCCCGTCTCTCATATCATCATAACCGCTTTAGCAAAGGATGTTTGTAACGAAAGAGCGGAGAACAATTTGCAGTGACTTTGCCACATCTTCCTTCCTGATCAATGACGTCATCATTGTTTTTTCTTCGCTCGTGGCAGTTGAATAATTTGTGGAACTTTTTTGCACAAAACATTTGCACTGCTGTTATTTTATTACCAGTTTTAATTTATCTTATTAGGATTTTCGTTCAAATATTGTCGGAAGCAGCTTTTCGATTTTTAGCTGCTTGCTCCAGGATTCAAACTTTGCCAGTGCAGATTTCTGTGATGGAAAACAACAAAATAAGATGGCGTATAACTAATAATAAAATAATAGTTATAACGAAGAATGTATTGACTCAGAGCGCTCTGATGAAAACAGTAATACGACGAATTATTAATTATTATTATTATTATTATTATTATTATTATTAATATTATTTCCTTTGATTTCCCTGATTGTACGCATTTCTTTCCGGGTTCCGACCAGAGACCTAAGGTCAGAAATGGCATCATGACATATTCCATTAACAATTTGGAAAAAAAAAATAATCACACATTTTTTACATTCGTAAGTTGTGGGCGGAGAACAATTTCTTTAAGGCATAGACTGCAAGGAATCCCTTCAATGATTCTGTCGGAACATTTTCCAATAAATCCGAGGGCTCCAGATACAATTGGAATAGTTGATGTTCCCATATGCCACATTTTGAAATTTCGTTTTCAAGGTCCTTGTATTTTGATAGCTTTTGAAGATCTTAAAGAGATACATTGCAGTCTGCAGGACTGTCATATATATTAATACGATATCATGATATATATTTAATACTGATATCGTGATATATTTTAATACTGATATCATGATATATATTTAATACTGATATCGTGATATATATTTAATACTGAACTAGACAAACTTTCTGAAATAGTATTATCTTCTTTTCTTTTCTAAACAATTATCGAGGTCTCTACTTATTTGAAGGGTATAAGGAGGACATTTTGTCTTTGCGGTCTTTAATCACGAAGTCTGCACGATTAGCTTTGATTGTTCTGTATGATTGTGATATGTAGTCCCATAAAATTGTTAGAGGTCCTATCTCCGTAACTAATTATTATTATTATTATTATTTTTTTTGTATTATATTATTATTTATTTTATTTTCTTTGATTTCTGGTGTATACTCATTTCTTTTTGGTCGCAATAGAGACCTAAAGTTAGAAATGGCACCACTGAGTTGTTTTTTTTTTTTTAAGAAAAGAACAACAAAAACAAAAACAAAACAAAACAAAAAAAGACAGCGCGAAACCTACGGTCACATATTTTACAGAGTTAAAGC